ACTTACGAGCATACAGAATTTGGCCATGCATACATAGGTGGAAAGGATCTGGAAGTTTAGGGACTGAGTTGATATGGCTTGTGTCAAAATTCAGTCACCTCTCATTAAAAATAATATTAACATCCATGATTAATGATTTATTATTGATCACATTTACAAGACAATACAATAAATGAAATCTGACATTACAAAATGGATTTGTCAGAAAGAAATTTAAATATACTATGTGACTCAGTGAATAAAGGTGACTTTACAAATGTGTTGAAAACATTGAATATCCTATTCCTCTGAGGAATGGTGTTTTCTTAAAAAAAACACATTTAATTATACCAGTCAGAGTGGCTAAAATTAACACCTCAGTAAACAACAGATGGTGAGGATGTGGAGACATGGGAATCTACTGCACTGTTGGTGGGAATGCAAACTGGTGCAGCCCTTCTGGAAAACAGTGTGAGGCTCCTCAAAATACTAAAACTAGAACTACCCTACGACTCAGCAGTTGGGAATTTATCCAAAGGATACAAAAATGCTGATTCAAAGGAGCACATGCAATGTATATAGCAGTGTTGTCAACAATAGCCAAATTATGGAAGGAGCCCAAATGTCCATCAATCAATGAATGGATTAAGAAGATGTGGTATTGGGGCGCCTGGGCGGCTCAGTCGACTGAGTGTCGGACTTCGGCTCAGGTCATGATCTCACGGTTCGTGGGTTTGAGCCCCGCATCGGGCTCTGTGCTGGCAGCTAGTTCAGAGACTGGAGCCCGTCTTTAGATTCTGTGTCTCTCTCTCTCTCTCTGACTCTCCCTTGCTCATGCCCTCTCTCTCAGAAATAAAAAAACATTAAAAAAGAATTAAGAAAATGTGGTATATATATATATGTATATATATGTGTGTGTGTGTGTGTGTGTATGAATGTATACACACACACACACACACACACACACACGCGCACACACCAGAATACTACTCAGTGGTGAAAAATGAAATCTTGCCGTTTGCAACAATGTGGATGGAACTGGAGGGTATTATGTTAAGTGAAATAATTCAGTCAGAGAAAGAAATATGATTTCACACATATGTGGAATTTGAGAAACTTAATGCTGAACATAGAGGAAGGGAAGGAGAAATAAGATAAAAACAGGGAGGCAGGCAAATCATAAGAGACTCAAATGCCAAGAGCAAACTGAGGGGTGATGGGGGTGAGGGGGTGGGTTAAGTGGGAGGTAGGAATTAAGGAGGCCACTTTTGGGGATGAGTACTGGATGTCATATGTAAGAGATGAATCATAGGGTTCTACTCCTGAAGCTAAGATCACACTGTATGTTAACTAACTTGAGAATAAATAAATAAATAAATAAATAAATAAATAAATAAATAAATCATACATACATACATACAATACAATACAACACAAAACACATTTAAATAAACATATGATGAGATCTATGTGTACACACATTGTCAGTTTTCTTGTATGTATAAAATTTTACATGTTTTCATACTGGTTTGAGTAATAATAAAATCATTTTAAGAGACTAATTTGTTTTTCTTTTTTTGTCTGGTTAAAAGTGATGTGTTCCAAAAATAATTGGCATTATAGAATTGGAGAACTGTGTCTTACAGTTTAAAATTGTCTACATAAAGATAAGATTTATGGGAGATTAATATATATAAAATTTTATTTACTAAATTTTTGTATTTAATGCTGTGTTTAATGTTTAGTTTTTTGCTTTTTACTTTTCATTTTTGGAAAATAGATTTATCAAAACCCTTTAGCCTAACAGAAGTGAACATCTTTGGCATACCAGATGCAGGATCAACTACAGATTCACTGAGAAAGGAAGAGGAAAAAGAAGACTAAATTTCTAAAAGCTCTCATTGGCAAGACTTTCTTGAATATGTTGTTTAAAACCTAGCTAAATGAGGGGTACCTGGGTGGCTCAGTTGGTTAAGCATAGGACTTCGGCTCAGGTCATGATCTCACGGTTCATGGGTTCGAGCCCCGTGTCAGGTTCTGTGCTGACAGCTCAGAGCCTGGAGCCTGCTTCAGATTCTGTGTCTCCCTCTCTCTCTGCCCCTCCCCTGTTCACACTGTGTGTCTGTGTGCGTCTCTCTCTCAGAAATAAATAAAACATTAAAAAAATAAAAAAAATTAAAAAAAACCTAGCTAAATGAGAAAATCCTGACTCAAGATTATAAAAATTGGCATTTAAATTCTTAGATGTGTGTAAACTTGGGGAGTTTGGGAAAAGTCTTTGCTATTCTAAAGAACTAATAATAAAAGATGAAACATAAAGGAGTGGTATGTGCCATTATAAATTCAGAAAAAATTGCAAAGCACCCTATATTCTCGTAATGAAGAGTAGAAGTTTATTTACTTGCTAACACTTATTTCAAAAAGGAAAAAAATGTACTTATTGAAGTACATTTTGTTATAGGACTTAGACTTATGTACCTAACTTCATACTTATCAATCCGAATGCTCAGATTTCAAAGATCTCTTGTGGACTTTTCTGTTTGTCATTTTTCTTCACGAAATACTTCAGAGATCTTAGCATGGTTTAATATTGGGCTTATGTGAAAATAATGTGAAAATTGATGTATTAATTTAATTTATATTGATGTGTTTTGCAAAGATCATTACTTAGAACCTTTGTATCTGTTCTAAGTCTGACCTAGGAAACAGGAAGTGATACAGCTTTGGTTTTTTTTCTTTAAAAGCAGACCTTGTGAACAGAAAGATCCCAGGCTGGAGTCAAGACGGTTTAATTCAACTTTTTTATCAGAGACTCAGACGATTTGTTTTCTATACAACAGAGTGGGTCCACGCTAGCCATATGAAAGCTGTCCTTTAATGTTTTAAAACTCCAGGTTTTTGTAAGATGAATTCCCAAACTCTGAGGATGGGGGCCTAACGTTAAACATGTGCAAATGTTAAGTAATCTCTACCTCCATTACTAAATCAGTTCTCAAGAAATGCTTGTATTTTTCTTAATTTTCTCTGTCCTCTTTCCTCATCACCTCCTGAAGTTCATTAATTTATTAAGCCTTGGTAGCATCAGTCCAAAATCTATTGTTTATTAATATTATTATTAATTATAATTACTATTTCGTATATTTTATATTCCCATCATGATATCCCTTATTAAAACTCTTATCATGCATCTTTCTAATTGCCTCTGGTGACTTGTAACTGTTTCACATCTTCCTAGCATTTTTTTTTAATGTTTATTTATTTTTGAGAAAGAGAGATAGAGTGTGGGCAGGGGAGGGACAGAGAGAGAGGGAGACACAGAATCTGAAGCAGGCTCCAGGCTCTGAGCTACCATCTCTGAGCCTGATGTGGGGCTCCAACTCATGAACTGTGAGATCATGACCTGAGCCGAAGTCGGACGCTCTGCTTCTGATTCTGTGTCTCCCTCTCTCTCTACCCCTTATCCACTCACACTCTGTCTCTCTCTCTCTCTCAATAATAAATAAACATTAGAAAAATACAAATGGACCATTTCCAGCTTCACAGAAGATTCTCTAACTATAGTTTATTTAAAATAGAAGTCAGTAACCAAAAATTTGAAGATCCTTATATAGTTTGAAATTTAGTAATATATTTCTAATTAACATGTGAGTCAAAGAAATGATCACAATGAATATTCACTATTTTCATATGAACTACAAGGAAAATGTCACAGCAAAAATCTATCTTGTGAAATGTAATAGTGTGTATAAGATTTTTTTCTTCACCCATTCACAAAGAGATTAGACTGTGTTTTCATTGATGGCTGTTTTATTATTAAAGCTATATTGGAAAGCATTTTTTTTTCTAGTTCCTGAAAGACTTTCTATCCATATAGGTAATTCCTCAACTTTTTTTGTGAAAGTGTACTGCTGTTATATATAATATATATTTATATGTAATTTATAATATATATTATATATATAATTAATACTATATGTAATATATATTATCTTTCTGTATATATAATTAATTGAAGTATAGTTGACACATATTAATTTCAGGTGTATGATATAGTGATTTGACAATTCTTATACTACTCACTGCTCACCATGATAAGCGTAGTGTTCTCTGTCACCATATAAAGTTATTACAATATTATTGACTATATTCTCTATGCTGTACTTTTCCTTCTTGTGATTTATTTATTTAGTAACTGGGATTTTTCTATCTCTTAATCTTCTTTACCTATTTTGTCCTCTTCACCCCCCGCCCCCGAGCAACCACCAGCTTGTTTTGTGCATTTCTGATTTGTTTGTTTGTTTATACAATTGTTTTTATTTTAGATTCCATATATAAGTAAATATATGGTGTTTGTCTTACTCTGACCTATTTCACTTAGCATAGTACCCTCTAAGTCTATTCACATTGTTGTAAATTGCAAGATTTTATATATATATGTGTGTGTGTGTGTGTGTGTGTGTACAACATATATATGCATTTTTTAATTACAAAAATTATTTCTACTTCTTTCATACATCTTATTGTGCAGGAAACGTTCTTGCAGACACATCTGAAATAACGTATTGTCGCACACTCTGTTTAAAGGCAAAGCACCATAGGTAAAGCTGATCGTCTGTCCAGAGTTCTTAGCTTATGGGATCTGGCTTCCTGGTTTTACATTAATTTTTGAAAGTCACACATGTCATCTCCAAAAAATGTTAAGGGGGCTGTAAAAAATAATCACTTTATTCAGTATTATAGTTGTAGAAATGGAGTATATTTTCTCTAAGAAATGAAAAACTAAGAAAAAAATGCCACGTTACATCATTGGTACATCGGCACAGGCCAGCAGGAAAAATACTGTGATAAGCTTGTCTCTTTGATATCAAGACATTCTAGTTCAAGCTTTAACTTGTTTCCTATGTTTTCACTAGATGCTTCTTTTTTGCTGCTTCATTCTTTTCCACAGTTCACATGAGAGGATTGGTACAGCCTTTAAAACTTCATTAGCAGGAGCAAATCCAGTATCCACATATTTCTTCTCAAAAGGCATTTGAACCCATCAGATAGCCCAGCAGTTTCATTCTCATGAGTACTCTAGCCAGTAAAAATCTCAAAAGGACACAGACGAATCCAGTGACTAGAAGAAGAAATCTATTGACTTTTGGAATGTTTGGTGCGTTCGATTGGTCCAGGATTATGAAACCTAAACCTCCCATTGTGAACAGGAAGCTGGATGCGAGTCTTTCTATAATATATCGTCCATTTACTCTGTAGGCCAAGACAGCTACTGGTCTCTGAGGTCCATGGTCATCGGTCATGGAGCCAACGCTTGAAGGTTCAACACTAACATCATCAAGTATTCCTCCGGTAATGAGGAAGTAAGACACCACCACCAGAGCGTACACCGTCATGGCCGACGGCATGTGCACCCCGGGCGGCTTCTTCAGCTTCAGGTTGTGGGATTCGAACACTAAAATCAGGACCTGGTACAAAGTCTCCTTGTTGGTAGGGGCAGGGAAGTCTTTCCACACACATATATATATATATTTATCCTCTTATTTATTCATCTACTAGGGACATCTATGCTGCTTCCATATTTAGGCTATTATAAATGATGCCCCAATAAACATATGGATGCTTATATCTTTTGGAATTAAAGTTTTCATTTTTTTTTTTGATAAATCATGAAAAGTAGAATTTCTGCGTGTTATGGTATTTCTATCTTTAATTTTTTTTAAGGAACCGGCCTATTGTTTTCCATAATGGCTGCAACAATATGATTACTGTTATATTTTTAAGTGTCATTATTCACTACTGATGCCATCTGAGTTTTTATATGAATTTTTTATATGAAGGTTTATATAATGAATTCAGTTACTTTAATGTTAGGTTTGCCCAGGTTCCTTTTAGATGTCCTACAGTTTGGTAATTTGCATTTTCTAGAAATTTTCTATTTCATACAGATATTAAAATGCATTCATACTATGGCTTTATTACCTGTTTAATATCTGTGAGAATCATAATGGAATTCTCAAGTTTCATCTAGATATAAAATGTTCGTCTTAATTTTTGTCTTCAGCAATCAATTTTATTAATTTTACTAAGCCTTTTCAATGAGAATACCTTTGCCCTTTTTGATTCTCTCTACTGCAGTTTTGTTCTTTGTCATGATTTTTTTAAAATTTTTTAATGTTTTATTTATTTTTGAGAGAGAGATAGAGACAGCATGAGCGGGGGGCAGGGGTCAGAGAGAGAGGGAGACACAGAATCTGAAACAGGCTCCACGCTCTGAGCTAGCTGTTAGCACAGAGCCCAATGTGGGCTCGAACCCACGAGCCATGAGATCATGACCTGAGCCGAAGTCACATGCCTAACCAACTGAGCCACCCAGGCACCCTGCTTTTGTGTTTTTGTTTCTTGTGGCATATAGCTTTTATAAAACATTGCTAAATGTTGGAATACTCAATCTGTTATTATAAAATGTACTTCAATTTCAATAATTGTTCTTGTCTTATATTATGACAGTACATTAGCTAGAGAATTTTTCTTGTGGCTTTAAACTTTACTCATGTTTATATTTTTATCATTCTTTTTGCTTTTGCTGAAGGAGTATCTCATTAAAACAGCCATTATGTAAATATTATTGAAATTAAAATGAAAATTATTTTATTTATATTAACATATTTTAAAATTATTATATAAATTTTATTTATATGTTTTATCTCTATGTATAAACACAGAGATACAATTAAGTGTTAAGTATAGTATATTTATCACTTAATTTGGGATAACCACTATCAGTTCTTGGAATTCTTTTTATTTTTTTATGTCATAATAAATATTTTAACTTTCCTTTATAAGAACTTATTAATTTAATATGCCTTAAATATTCTTTTATAGTGCCCTACTTTTTACAACAAAGTAGCTATAAAAAGAGTGGTTCTCATCCTTTCACACACAGGAGGCAGCTTTGGTGAAGTCTGGCCCCCCTGCAAAAGGCTTTTGCCCACGAAACCCAGTGGATGGCCTCAGGTGGGGGCAATACCCCAACCAAACTAGCTCCCATCCTGCCACAACCAGTGGGTGACCTCACCAGGACTGGAGTCCCTTAAAAGCAACCAGTGTGCCTGCAACATCTGTGGCCAAGCCACACAGCCAACTTTACTGGGGCTTGTTCAATCCAATAGTAGGTTCTCAATATCCTTACCCAATCCTCTCAGCCAGCCATAAAGGAGAAAAGTCTTCCCACCAGTGTGCCTGCAGCACTTGCAGCAAGGATTCACAGCCAGTCAGAGTGGAGACCAGCCCCCGACCAGTGTGTTCACAGTAATTATGGCCTAGCTACAACAGAAGAGTACACACCACATAGGAGACGCCCCTGGAGCACCTGATTCTCATGACCAGGAGGAATTTCATTTTTGTGCCCCAAAAAGTACCTTTAGTAAGACCATACCTTCAACATCAGGAGACTAGCTAATCTACTTATACATAGAAAGAAATACAGAGGGGGCACTGGGGTGGCTCAGTTGGTTAAGCATCTCACAGTCAATGAGTTCTAGCCCTACATCAGGCTCTGCGCTGACAGCTCAGAGCTTGCCCCTGCTTCAGATTCTGTGTCTCCCTCTCTCTCTTCTCCTTCCCTGCTCATGCTCTGTTTCTCTCTCTCTCTCTGTCCTTAAAAAATAAATAAACATTTAAAATAAAAAAAAACACAAAGAAACAAATACAGAGTCAGGTGAAACAGTCAGGAGAGAGAGGAATATGTTTCAAATGAAAGAACAAGACAAAATCTCAGAAACAGATAAAAATGAAATGGAGAGAAACAATCTACCTGATAAAAAGTTCAAAGTAATAATGAAAGAGATGCTCACCAAACTCAGGAGAAGAAAGGATGAGCACAGTGGAATTTCAACAAAGAAATGGAACATATAAAGAAATGGAACATATTGAAAAATTCAATCAGAGTATGATAACTGAAATTTAATCAACAGAAAATTAGGTGATGTATAAGAAGGGAACAGCAATCTGGGAGATAGGATAGTGGAAATCCCAGAAGCTGAAGAATTTTTAAAACTGAGAATAATTAAAAGAACTCTGGACAACATCAAGCTTACTAATATTTGCATTGCAAGAATCTCAGAAGAAGAAAATATAAAATGGAAAACACTTATTTGAATAAAAAATAGCAGAAAACTATACTGACTTGAGGAGGCAAAGAGACATCCATCCGGGTCTAGGAAGCACACACAACTCCAAGCAAGATGAATGCAAAGTGGTCCACAACAAGACCCATACTAACCAAAACGGCAAAAATTAAATACAGAGAATCTTAAAAGCTGAAAGAGAAAATTAACTAGTTACATACAGGAGAATCCCCATAAAACTGCCAGCTGAATTTTCAGCAGAAACTTTATAGGCCAGAAAGAAGGGACATTATGTATTTAAAATGCTGAAAAGGAAAAACCTAAACCAAGAATACTCCAACTGGCAAGGTTATTCAGATTTGAGAGATAAAAGGTTTCACAGACAAACAAAAGTTAAAGGAGCTCATGACATCTAAACTGGACTTACAAGAATGTTAAGCTTTTTCAGGAAAAAGAAAAAGTCATAAATAGAAGTGTGAAAGTTATAAAAGAAGAAATCTCACTGGCAAAAACCAAACACCTCTTAAAGGTCATTGATTATAAAGCTAATATGAAGATTAAAAGACCAAAGTCTTTAACCAACTATACATAATTGGTTAAATGATAACGGTATAAAAAGAAGTAATATATTGTATCAAAAGCACAAAATATGGTGAGTGGGGTAGTAAAAATGTAATGCTTATAGAATGTGTTGGAACCTAAGCAACCATTAACTTAAAATAGACTGTTATACACATAGGGTGTTATATCTATGAAGCTTATGAGAACCACAAACCAAAAACTTACTATAATCACACACACAAAATACAGAAGGGAGTTGGAACATAACACTAAAGAAAGTGATCAATACACAGGAGAGGAAAGCAGAACACAAAACAACCTCAAGCCCAAAAACAAACAAGTGAACAAACAAACAAAACCCGGAGAGGAACATAGAAAAAAAAGTAAAAAAACAACCAGAAAACGATTAACAAAATGGCAGTGAGTTCATACCTACCAATAATTACTTTAAATGTAAATGGACTAAATACTTTAATCAAAGACTGAATGGTGACTGACTGGATAAGAAACAAAACATCTATATGCCCTCTACAAGAAACTCACTTCAGACCTAAAGGCACATACTGACTGACAGAGAAAAGATGGAAATAAAAAAAAGAAAGGTAGGGCAGCAGTGTTTATATCAGACAAAATAGATTTTAGAACAAAACTGTAACAAGAAATGAAGAAGGGCATTACATAATGATAAAGGGAAAAATCCAACAACAGGATAGAGCAATTGTAAATATACAAGCAGTCAACATAGGAGCATCTAAACAAATAAGCAAATATTAAGAGACAAAGAGGAGAAATTGACAGTAATGAAGTAATAATAGGAGACTTTAACACTTCATTTGAATCAATAGGAAGATAATCAAAACAGAAAATCAATAAGGAAATAGAGGCACATTAGACTAGATGCACTTTATACATATGTACAGAACGTCACATCCCAAATCAGCAGAGTACAAAATCTTTTTAAGTTCACATGGAGCATTTTGGAGAATAGATTTCATATTAGGTCACAGAACAAGTCCCATTAAATTAAAGAAGACTGAAACCATGTCATGCATCTTTTCTAGCACAATGGTATGAATCTAGAAATCGATTACAAGCAAAAATTTGATAAAATTCAAACATATCTCCATATGTTACTAAACAAAATAATAGGTCAAAGAAGAAATCAATGAGAAAATAAAAAATTCCTAGATAAAAATGAAAATTAAATCATAATGTCTCAAAATCTCTGAGATACATCTAAGTCAGCTTCAAGAGTAAAGTTAACATTGATACAGGCCTATCTTAATAAATAAGAAAAAATCTAAAATAAACTATCTATATCTAAGGGAACTAGAAAAAGCTATCTATTTATATATGTATAAACACACATATCTATTAAGTATATTAGAAATATATAAAAATATATATGAAAAAGATGAGAGTGGAAATAATTGAAATATAGACTATAAACACCATAGAGATGATCAAGGAAATTAAGAGCTACTTCTTTGGGAAAATATAGAGAATTGGAAAATCTTTAGCTAGAATCATCAAGAAATGAGCAGCAAGAAAAAAAAGAGTGGGGGCCCAAATAAATACATTCAGAGATGAAAGGGATAAATTACAACAGATACCTAAGAAATACAGAATATCATGAGAGACTTAGTATGAACAATTATACATCAACAAACTAGATAACTTAGCAGAAGCAGACAAATTTCTAGAAAAATACCATCTTTTAAAACAGAATCAAGAAGAAATATAAAATCTGAAAAACAATTACTAGTAAAGAAATTGAATCAGTAATCCAACAACTCCCAGCAAACACATATCCATGACCAGATGATTACACAGGTGAATTCCACCAGACTTTTAAAGAAGACTTTTAATACCTATTCTTCTCAAATTAGTTACGAAATCGAAAACAAAGAAAAGCTTCCAAATTCATTCTGTGTGGCCAGCATTTCCCTGGTATCAAAACCAGATAAGGACATCAAATCCAAAAATATAATGTGCTTATATTCCCAGTGCACATGCAAAAATCCTTACCAACATATTAACAAATGCAATTAAACAATGCATTAAAAAGATCATATACCATAATCAAGTGGGATTTACATGTATGCAAGGATGGTTCAATAACTGCAATCAATCAACTTGATACATCACATTAACTACATGAAAGATTAAAGTCATATAATCATATGATCAAGAAAAGGCACTTGACAAAATTTAACATGTTTATGATAAAATCTCCCAAGAAAGTGTGTAGAGAGGGAATGTATATCCACATAATAAAGGTGTTGGTGGTATAGTGGTGAGGATAGCTGCTTTCCATCCACAGAATAAAGGCCATATATTACAAGCCCACAACTAACATCATTCTCAACAGTGAAAAGCCAGAAGTTTTTGCTTTAAGACCAAGATAAAGACAAGATGTCTATTCTTACCAGTTTTTATTCAACACAGTACTGTAGGTTCTAGCCACACTAATCTGAAAAGACAAAGAAATAAAAGACATCCAAATTGATAAGGAAAAAGTAAAACTCACCATTTACAGATGGCATGATACAGTAGGTAGAAAATCTAAAGACTCTACTAAAAAACTATAAATAATAAATGAAATAATGAATATTATTCCAATAATAATCCATAAATAATAATGAAATCAGTTAAGTTGCAAGATACAAAATTTAAATGTAGAAATCTGTTGCATTTTTATACACTAACAACAAACTATCAAAAAGTGAAATTAAGAAAACAATGCCATGTATAATTGCATCTACAAGAATAAAATACCTAGGAATAAATTTAATCAAGGACATGAAAATCTTGTATCTGAACTAAGACATTGATATAAGAAATTATGAGATGACATAAATGGGAAGATACACTGTGTTCATAGCAGGATGAATTAATATTGTGACTATATCCATACTACCCAAAACAACCTACAGATACAATGAAATCTTTATCAGAATCCCAATAGGCATTTTTCAAAGAACTAGAATAAATTATCCCAAAATTGTTTGGAACTGCCAAAGACTCTGAATACCCAAAGCCATCTTTAGAAAGAAAAACAAAACTGGAGATATCATCCCCTTACATTTCAAACTGTACTAAAAAGCTAATCTAGTCAAAATAATATGTTACTGGCACAACAATAGACATAATGGAAAGCCCAGAAATAAACATGTACTTATATGGTAAATTAAAACCACAAAGGACGCAAAAATATACAAGGGTATAAAGACAGTCTTCAATAAATGGTGTTGAAATAATTGGACATGCAAACAAACAAACAAAAAGAATCTGGACAACTTTTTTCCACTATATATAAAAATAAACTCAAAACCTAATGAAAGACTTGAAGCCATAAAACACAAAAAAGGAAAACACAGACAGTAAATTCTTGGACATAGGCCTTAAACTATTTTTTGCATCTGTCTTCTTAGGCAAGGACAACAAAAAATTAAAAATCTTTCACACAGCAAAGGAAATAATAAACAAAAAAATGCAACCTACTGAATGTCACATGACACTTGTAAATGATATATTGACAAGAGATTAATATCCAAAATATATAAAGATTCCTTACAACTCAAACCCTCCCTCACCCCCCCCAAAAACCTCAAACAATTAAAAAATGGGCAGAGAAACTGAGTAGACATTCTTTCAAAGAAGACATATAGTGGTCAACAGACACATAAAAAGATACTCCACATCTCTAATCATCAGGGAAATGCAATTCAAAGCCACAATGAGATACTGCCTCATACTTGTCAAAATAGTGAGAATCAAAATTACAATAAATAACAAGTGTTGGTGAGGTTGTAGACAAAGAACCCTTATGTGCTACTGGTGGGAATGTAACTTGGTGTAGCCGGAATGGAAAAGAATATGAAGATTACTCAAAAACTTAACCGTAAAAATACTTTAAGTTACAAAAATTCCACTTCCGGTATTTATCTGAATAAAATGAAAACATTAAGAAGTTGTAGGCACTCTATTTTTATTGCAGCATTATTTACAATGCCCAGGATATGGAAGCAACCCAAGTGTCTATTGATAGTTAAGTGGATAAAGAATGTACACACACACACACACACACACACACACACACACACTAGATTATTACTCAATCATAAAAAAAGAATAAATTTTTTGTCATTTTTGACAACATGGATAGGCCTAGTAGGTTTTATGCTTAGTGAAATATGTCAGATCAAGAAAGACAAACACTTTATGATTTCACTTACATGTAGAAGAGAAAAAGCAAAACAAAACAAACAAAACAAAAGAAAAGAAAAACAGAAACCAGAAACCAACTCATACATATAGAGACCAAAGTGGTAACTGCTACAGGAAAGCGGGGGAGGAGTAATGGGTGATATAAGTGAGAGGAATTAAGTGGTACAAACACTCAGTTAGAAATAAATAAGTCACAGGAAGAAGGAGGAAGTTGGTGGCAGACTAAGTGGCCCTTAGGCTTGTCTTGTTCCCAAAACACAACTAGATAACTATCAAATCATCCTAAATATTCCAGCAATTGACCTGCAAATGGACAGAACAAACTCAACAACTAAAGGGAGAAGAGGCCACATCAAAGAAAGAAGGAAGTGCAGAGATGTGGCTTAGGGAGGAAATAGATCATGGGTGCTATAGAGGGAAGGGAGCCATGGTCATGGATAAGGGTGAGAGCGAAGAACACACAGGAGTGCAAATAGAACTTTTCCCCAAAGCCATTGGCTTGGAAAACAAGAGAGGCTGAATTTCATGAGTTTTTGCAACTACAGGGCTTAATGTCTGGACTTTTAAGCATCAGTGAGCTTGACTAGGATAGAGCCCAGGAGGCACTGCCCTGCTCCTGGAGAGAAGGCAAGCAAGCAACATGGGGGCAGATGGCATGAAAATATCAATCTGAAGAACACCTGGGACACACAAGGGGGAGATTATTCACTCTTATCGGAGCACATCACTGAGATATGTTCACTGAAATGCCTCTCTGGGAGAAAAGGAGATGGCTTATGCCATTTCCCTCCCCTGTCTAGCATAAACACAGACCCACCAGCAGGAAGCATTGCAGTGAAAACACTGGCTGCCTAACTTGTTTACGCCAAGTCCACCACCCCTGTGTTCTGGCAGGACTGGCCTTTTCAGTCAAGCTTATGTCAGTCCCAGAGTGGTGGGCCCCCTCCCTAAAGACCAGCACTAACCCCTACCCACACCATATCTTCTGGCCAGAGAGTTCTTCAGGGTTTCAATTCTGGTGGAGTTTGTGTTGAAAGAAAAAACGAAAGAAAGAGAGAGAGAAAGAAAGAAAGAAGGAAGGAAGGAAAGACAGAAAGAGAAAGAAAGAAAGAGAGAAAGAAAGGAAGAAAGAAAGAAAGAAAGAAAGAGAGGAAGGAAGGAAGGAAGGAAGGAAGGAAGGAAGGAAGGAAGGAAGGAAGGAAGGAAGGAAGGAAGGAAGGAAGGAAGGAAGGAAAGGAGGGAGGGAGGAATGAGGGAAGAAATGTTGTGTAGTTTGATAATAGGCATTAACTCCTCTTTACCTATTTGATAGAGTTCACCTGTAAATCCATCTAGTCCTGGAGTTTTGTTTGTTGGGAGTTTTTTGGTTACTGATGATTTTTGTTGCTGGTTATCCATCTGTTCAAGTTTCCTATTTCTTCCTGATTCAGTTCTAGTAGTTTATATTTTTCTAGGAATTTATGCATTTCTTCCAGGTTGTCTGATTTGTTGGTGTATAGTTTCTCATAATATTCTCTTATAATTGTATTTCTGTGCTGTTGGTTATTTCTCCTTTCTCATTTGTGATTTTATTTATTTGAGTTCTTTATCTTTTCTTTATGATAAGCTCCTCAGTGGTGGCTCAGACGGTTGAGTACACACACACACACACACACACACACACACTGGAATATTACTCAACCAAAAAGAATGATAGCTTGCTATTTGCAACAGTATAGATGGAGCAAAAGTGTATTATGACAGTAAGCAAAATAAGTCAGCCAGAGAAAGAGAAATACCATATGATTGCACTCATAGGTGGAAATTAAGTAAAACAAATGAGCAAAGGGAAAAGAGAGGGGCGGGGCAAAGCAAGAAACAGACTCTTAACTGTAGAGAACAAACTGATGGTTACCAGAGGGGAGGTGTGTGGGAGGATGGGTGAAATAGGTGATGGGGATTAAGGAGGGCATTTGTTGGGATGAACACCGGCTGTTGCATAGAAGTGTTGAATCACTATATTGTACATCTGAAACTAATATTACACTGTATGTTAACTAACTGGAATTTAAGTAAACCCTTAAAAATAAATAAGTCACAGGGATATTAATTATAGCATAGGGAATATATAGTCAATAATATTTTTATAACAGTATGGTGACAAATGGTAACAAGATTTATAATGGTGAACATTTCATACTGTATAAAAGGTCGACTCACTATGTTGTACACTGAAACTAATATAATATTGTATGTCAACTATGCATCATTAAAAAATAAAATTATCACCCAATGTTGCAAAGAGAAAACTACAGACCAAAAGAAACATACATACAAAAATCCTTGAAACTGCATTTTAAAAGTACTTTTTTGGGGCACCTAGGTGGCTCAGTCGGTTAAGCAGCCAATTCTTGATTTCAGTTCAGGTCACGATGTCACATTTCATGAGTTCAAGCCCCGTGTCGGGCTTGGCGCTGACAGCACGGAGCCTTCTTGATGTTCTCTCTCTCCTTCTCCTTCTGTCTCTACCCTGTTTGTGCTTTCTCTATCTCTCTCTCAAAAATAAATAAACTTTTTTTAATAAAAAGTACTTTTTCTGCCCTCCCCAGTATTTTGAGTTAAGTGAAAATTTTAAAAATTACCTTCATTTTTCCTCTATGTCAAAAGACTCAGACTTTTGTCATGGAGAATAAACACATTGGTTAAAATAGAAACCAACTAGTTATCCTGGGAGGATGAATCAATGAATAACATGAATAATTATTTAATATTTTAATTTCTACCATGGTGTTATTGTTCAATATTGTTTAATATTTTCTCCTTTCCAGAAAGTTATTGTTTTCAGCAGAAAACTAAATAACTCATTTATGAATGATAAAATTGAATGCAGGTCTCTTAAAAACTAAGGCAGAAAAATTGGGAAGATAAGTTTGGAAATTAATGACTTCGTGACAGTCACAGGAAAGTTGAAAATACTGTAAGTCTTCAGAATTGGCATCAAATATCATTAGATACTTGTTATGGGAATGATGATTTTAGAATATTTTTAGTATAATAGAAATGGGCACAAGAGAAAGAAGTATGTAACATTTAGCAACTTTGTCTAAGACTTAAACATCTAAGATATTTCTCACAAGGCCTAACTTCTCAGTATTTGTGATTCAGATGGTAGCAAGTTAACAGCCTGGGTGGTCAAGTTTCTGATCCCAATATCTTGTGAAACATAAAAATTTCTCAGGGGCATTTGCCAAATGGACAAACGAAAGGACGCACTATAAGCTGCAAGTCTCTACATTCTGGAGGTGTGTGATAATATAAATGGGCTTCAAAATAGCCCAACGGTAAGAATTTCCTGTTCAAATTTTAAGTGATGCATTGATAAGAAATCTGCTTTTTCCATTATTGCCTAATTCTGAGGTCTTACAGGGCTGGCAACTGTGAAGACCACAGATGTTGTCTGTTTACGAGAGTAACCTGGTTCCCACTGGAAGATGCACGACTGTCCAGCCCACAGAAGGTATGTGTCACTCCTGCCCTGTCTCTTGATTAGTCACTCCAGTGAGTGAGAGTTTACAAATGCTGGTGGGATGCACTTGAGGCACAACTAACATACAATGAAATCACGGAGAACATTGGTATCTGTATCCCAACAATTCAGGGTAACAAACCAGAAAGAGTATGAAATACATTGGAGAATTTCTTAAAATATTTAAAATCTCGCCTGTGGAGAAGTAATCGAGTGTACACACATATACATACAATTGGGTTTGTAAATCAGTATAATGTCACATGAAATCCCATCAACGTCATGATAAGAAACAGTTCATTTTGGATTTGTCCTTAGTATAGATATAATTACATGTATGAGTTGATATTTACATCAGCCTTCAGAAGTAGATTCTTAAAATGAATTCATCAAATCATGAGAGTCAAACATTATACACTTACGTAGATAAATGAAAGCGGTTTTCTTTTTCATAAGAAGCAGGATGAGGTACCTTCCGTAAAATGCTAATTTAAACAACTATAAACAATCAAAAGAATTTTTAAAAATTGATCAAAACTCGGCCAAATAAAAAAAAAGAATCCATACTGAAAAACACTACTGTGTAGTGAATTACATTATATGCTCTAAAAAATACAAATTAGTAGTTATAATGTGATTATGGTGTTAAAAATAAATAAAATAATTAATATTGAGAATTTATAAAAGCCAGATTGTATAGTAAGTCCTTTATATGCATTATATTTTTACATATGTTTGCTCTAACTTTAGATTAGTAAACTACGTAGCTAGACACAAAGTAACTTTTTAAAGGTCATACTTTGTGAGTTTGAGAGCCAGAAGTAAGTCCAGATCTCACTGACTGCAGAGCTCATTGGCTTAATTATTAATTTACATTTATTTCTATTTATTACAATCGCTTACACAACTGAAACTACCCTCACAACTTTTGACATTCATAAATCTTTCTGAAAGTTTGTACCAACAGTTCTTCCATAAATGATCTATACTTTTGTAATTTTATCATCTTATGGTTTCATATATTACAATTAATGTCAATTTCTGGTGTTAAGTCCTTTTTCAAAAGTCATTTTTGTTATTTTATTTTCAATTGTGTTCAAGTTTTGGATGAGCTTAGTGTGTCTGCAACATTTTTGAACATATACAATTTTTCTTTTAAAATTTAACAAAATTTAATTTCTCAGAACTCCACAATAACTCAAAATAAAAGATCACTGGATAATAGCACATCACCTTTTAATAAATAAGCGTGTCACCAAATAAAAGTAATTTATCACAGGACATTCCTATCTATAAGTGCTAAAACTAGTATTCCCCAAGTAGAACACTCAACTTTTAACCAATAATGGATTTAAAAATTGTCCCCCCTAATTGGTGCAACATTTTCTTTCTAATACAGTATTTTAATTTTAAGCCAATTATTCTAATATTGTTGAAATGTTTCTGTGGAATCTGGCCTTATATTAATAAGGACATTCTTTCTTCTTCACTAATCTATTGCTTTACATTTTTCCAACCAATACTATGTGTGAAACATAGAATATCATAGGAAAAAACATTTACTTTATCATGACACACTTCTTTAAAGCTCTAAGGAAATTAGTACCAGATTTTACCTTGTTCAACTGCAAATGAGTAGTGTCCCTCACCCCGCACTCCACCTGGTGTGAGTGTACTAGCAATCTTGTCAATATATTACATACACTATTTATCAAGACCTTCAGTTTCAGACAGCACTGTGCCTGACCTTACTCAGCTGCAGGCATGAATAACCAAGGAGCTACTTATGCAGAACTTAATCTGATGAAAGACTCAAAGCGACAGCAAATTAAACCCAAGGGCACTAAAAGTTCCATTTCAGTAACTGAGCAGGAAATAATCTATGCAGAATTAAACCTTCAAAATGCTTCTCAGGATCTTCAAGGGAATGGCAAGAACTATCACTGCAAAGGTAAAAAATTTAATATACACACAGTATAACTAACTGTTCTAGGATGTGCAGTTAGGGAGCCGGGGTCTGGAGAATGAGTAGGGAATGATCTCACATATTTTTCATTTGTGAAGATGGGAGCTTGGGGTTGGATGATGATATCCTAGTTGATCTCCAAGAATTAAGTTTACTAAGCTATTGTAATTTGTAGTCTTTGACCAATAGCTCATGGAGTATTACCTTTACTGAAAATGCAATAGTATATTCTGAGAGAAGATTATGATGGTAGATAGGGGCTTGGGGTCCAAGTGTTTATTTGTGACTCTCTGTGCATCTGTGGTTCTCTTATATGGGACTTTTCTAAATGATTATTTCCCTCCATCCTTTCTTAGTGTTTTCATTTCTCTTCTTAAAATTTACTATTATTTCCAGGGAAGCTCATTGCTGGGATCCTGGGAATCATCTGCCTCGTCTTGATGTCTGCTGTGGTCACAATAGTAGTTGTTACCTGTAAGTGTTTGAGTGACTATTTGGGAACTTTTCCTTTTAGTGATTGTCAGTGCCTCAAAATATCTCCTCCTATTACAGAATAGAATTTTAATTTTAATGCAGATGTGCTCTAAATGTGCAATGGTTATTCTGAATTTGTCAAAAGTATAAATAACAGAATAATTGTAGAGAGCATTACACATATATTCAGATTTTTATTACTCAAAGAGATGATTTAGGAGAAATATTGTTGAGATATACAAATTAATTCTTGAGATTAATTATACAAAAAACTGTAAGAGATAGTGAGGTTGGGTTGTGTAGGCTTTTGACATATTTTCTCCCAAATCTTCATCATTTTATTAATATTGCTTAGTAAAATAAATTTTATTACAGAGCTTTATAATTCTAAACAATAAAGATTTCAATTAAGAAACTCAAATTTTTATGAGGATTCCTTTAATTTTTTCAGCTACTGAAATACCGGAGCAGAAAAATTTATCCCTCACAATAAAGATCCAGAGAGGTACAAAGTGATTTTCAAAATTCTAATATTAACATAGTTTCTATTTTATCTCCAACTTTGGTTGAGCAACAATGATACTGGAGTTTTTGGAGGAAAATTAATTACATAACTGGGAATAATGCTTCAGAAATAATGAGTATGGGAGAGTATTACTTCTCAGGCAACAATATGAAGAGAAACTCATTTAAAATTAGCATACACATTATTACTATTTTCCTCAAATTTCTTTCTCGTATAACATGATAAGACATAAATCATTTTGCTATTCTAGAAAAGTGGCCTGGTTCAGTGATCTCAGGACATGCTGAGATGGATATTTTTGTGCGTTCGCTTTATATGGACACATAAATTAGGGAATGAGAGGATGATCATTCTCTCTGTGTGTGCAAGCATATTTTGTTTTATTTATACCATCTTGTGAGTGTGTGTAAATATGTACACGTGTATCCACATATGAGTATGTAGATTAATTGGAATTTGTTAATATACAAAGTGCTTTTGGATAATATCTCAAAATCTTTCTCCAGCACATCACTGTGGTTGTCCAGAAGAGTGGATCGCCTACTCCAACAATTGCTATTACATTAGCACTGAAAGAAAATCATGGAATGAAAGTGTGACATCCTGCGCTTCTCAGAACTCTAACCTGCTCTACATAGATGATGAAGAAGAACTGGTAAGATTTCAGATGTTTCCAGACTTTATTAATAGCTTGTCAGTTAATATAATATTTGTAGAGTCCATTCATAGTTTTGTAAATATTTATAGTTTATTTTAAAGTCTGATAATATTACCTCATTTGAGTCTATGATATTTTATCTATATTTTTAAATTTTAATGTACACATGGTAATCTCCTCTTCTTGCTTTTCATAGAAAATCATGCTTCTATAAATGCTCTTTTGCCTGAAATAAACTTTACTATTTAATTGTACCACACATCAAGCCTTTGTCAGCCCTGCCAATTTCAATATTATGAAATATCTTTGCTTATTTTTGGACTTTATATCAAAGGGATCATGCAGTATGCTTTTTTATGTATGTTTCTCTTTGCTCTAATATATGCAATCTATCTATACTATCACATTTGTCTATAGTTTGTGAATTTTCACTGCTGTCTTATATGAATAAGACATCTTAAAGTCTATTCTCAGATACAGGTTTAGTTTACTTTTAATATGGGGTGTGGACATTATGAAGAATTATTTTATGAAAAGCCTTTTTTGGGGCACCTGGTTGACTCAGTCAGTAGAGCATGCGACTCCTGATTTGGGGGTTGTTAAGTCTCTACGTTGTGTTTAGGAATTACATAAAAATAAACCTTAAAAAAAGAAAAGCCTTTACTATATCTTTTTTTACATATTATATTGTATTTATAATAATATATATGAAGCTTAACTATATAGTATATATTATATTTAGGCAGGTATATGTTATGTTCTCACAATAAAATAATAATGTAGAAATATAATACTATCATTGTATTTATGTACAATCATAACACATTTTCCTCCAAGCATTAGAATGAAATTGCACCTTCGTAGGTATGTTGTGTATCTCAATTTATTACATTAGTCTAACATTTTTCTAGTTTATTGTGTAAATACATATTGTATCAAATAGGTTCTTGATACAAAATGCAGTAGTCTGACAAAATTAATATAATAAGCTCTGACTGTTTTATAACAGGACCACTTTCTGGGCTGCAACTCATTAGAATTGTCTCTTTTGTGTTAGTGAGAAGGGCTCGAGTGTGTTTCTTTTCTATTTCTCCTAGATGTGTCTTCTTTCCCCTTCTTAGAAGTCTTTGTCATAGTTTAGATATGAGCTCTCTTTTGAGTTTTTAAGATGCAAATGGATTTTTGGCTATTTAACTTGCATGTTTACTCTCATATCGGAATCTTTTAATGACCCAAATTTATGAATGTTACGATAATTCAATTTATCGTTTTGGCCATTGGTGCTTGTTTTAGACCCATTTCAGATTTAGTTAGAGTTCATGAATATAATTTCCTATATTACCTTCTAGGATTTATTTATCAACTTTTAATTAAAGTTTGTGATCCATTTGGGCATTTATTCTTTGCAATTAGTTGTATTAGTGATGCTGTGAGATAAAAGTGATGGTTATACTTTTCTACATCATTACCCAATTGATGGAACAAAATTTATAGCAAAGTAGATCTTTACATTTAATTTTTATATAAAGTTATATATGTAAGTATATAAGTTCTAATATGCTTTATAAGACAGTAATCTGGGGGCGCCTGGGTGGCTCAGTTGGTTAAGCCTCCGACTACCGCCCAGGTCATGATCTCATGGTTCGTGGGGTGGGGCTCTGTGCTGACAGCTCAGAGTCTGGAGCCTGCTTCAGACTCTGTTTCTCCCTCTCTCTCTGACCCTCCCCTGCTGGCTCGCTCTCTCTCAGAAATAAATAAAAACATTTAAAAAAAAGACAGTAATCTATTATATATCTTTATATAATTATATATACATATATGACAACTACACAATCTATCACAACCCACAGCAGCTTAAGAAAAATGTAGAGCCTTACTTTTCTTATGTCCCTTTACTATGTCCCATTTACAATAGAATTGTCTTAAATATTTCTCTATTTACGTTGAGAATCACATGGATGTTATAATTTTGCCTCAACTGTTAATTTTGCTTCAAATATCAAACAATTTAGAAAACACAACAGATGAAGAGAAATCCATTAAGAACAATGATAGTTTTATTCTTTCTTTTGTTCCCTCTTTCTTCCTGATGATCCAGGACTCCTTTCATCATTTAACTTCTGTTTAGATAATTCCCTTTAGCAGTTCTTTCAGAGTGGGTCTGGCAGTGATACATTTTCTCAGTTTTCCTTTATTGGAGAATCTCTTGATTTCCCCTGCATTGCTGAGTTATATTTTTATTGGGTAGTCAATGGTTGTGGGTTGGAGTAATTCAGTTAGTATCAAAAAGTTTTGTGTCTTTCTAGCATGCCTTTTTCTCATTATTTTGACTGGAGAAAAAACATTCTGGGGACTTTGGTCTGTACCTGTTGGTGTCTGTGATTTGCTAGCCTCTCGGGCACCAGTCTGGGATGTGTGAGGTAAAGAGAAATTCCAGGGAGCTCACCGCCATGTCATTCCTCAGCTCTTGAGTGTTGGGATCTGTCAGCCTTATCATTACCTTTCTGAATCTTCTTATGTTGTCTTACTCTACATAATGTTCAGGGGCTCTAGCTATTAATTTAGTGGGGTGAATAGGAAAAAATCTATCCTCTTTTTTTCCAAAACAGGAAGTCTGGTCTGTGGTGGTTTTATTTTGAATGTTCCTAAGACAAACAGTTTTGAGCATCTTTTCCTATACTCATTTGCCATCCATATATTTTCTTGGTGATGTAGTTAATGAAATACTTGATTATACTTAATTTTTGTTATTTTTGAGAATTCTTTATGTATCCTGGCTGCAAGTCTTTTATTAGACATATGATTTGCAGTTATTTCCTTCAAGTCTGTGATTTGTCATTGTCTTCAAAAAGCAGAAATCATTTATTTTGATGAAGTACACTTCATCAATTTATTCTTCTTTGGATCATGTTTCTGGAGTTCTATCTAAAAAATCTATCTAAAACTAAAGGAATTGTATGATTTACACTTAGGTTTATAATCAATTTGGAGGATTTTTGTATGAAGTTTGGGATATATAATTATTAATATTGTTTGATAGTCAGTTATTTCCACAGCGTTTGTTGAAGAGACTATACTTTCTCCAGTGAATGATTATGCATCCTTCTTGAAATCTGCATTCCCTATATGTGTGGGTATAAATTTTCACCTTCTAATCTGTTTCATTAACCTAGTTATGTACTTTTATTCCAATTTCCTGTTTAAAAAATTATCTTTCTTAAAAAATACATATATATTAATTCTACTTAGTCGGCTTGACTATTCTAGATCTTTGCACGGTTATTTCCTCTTATTTTTATCTTTTAAAAAGTTTTACTTTCAAAATAAGAATATTAGTTTTATCAAATGCCTTCTGCAATAGAGAAGTCATATCATTTGGTTTTCCAATTTATTAAATTCCAGTTAGTTAACATATAGTGTCATATTAGATGCAGATGTAGAATTTAGTGATTCATCACTTACATACAATTCATAGTACTCATTACAAATACCCTCCTTAATACCCATCACTCATTTAACCTATCTGCCCACCCCACCCCCGTCCAGTAATTATCACGTTGTTCTCTATATTTAAGAGTCTGTGTTCTAGTTTGTCTCTCCTCTTTCTCCTCTAGATTCATCTGTTTCATTTCTTAAATTCCACATATGAGTATATGGTAATTGTCTTTTCTGTATGACTTACTTAGCATAATACTCTCTAGCTCTGTCCACATCATTACAAATGGCAAAATTTCATTTTTTTTTGAGTAGTACTCCATCGTATGTATGTAACACCTCTGCTTTATCCATTCATCAGTTGATAAACATTTGAGATCTTTCCATACCTTGGCTATTGTTGATAATGCTGCTATAAACACTGGGGGTGCATGTATACCTTTGTGTCTGTATTTTTTAACCTTTGGGTAAATACTTAGAGATGCAATTGCTGGATCATAGGCTAGTTCTATTTTTAACTTTTTCAGGAACCTCTATATTTTTTTCCAGAGTGACTGCACCAGTTTGCGTTCCCACCAACAGTGCTAGAGGGTTCTCCTTTCTCCACATCCATGCTAACACCTGTTGTTTCCTGTGTGGTACATTTTAGCCGTTCTGCCTGGTGTGAGGTGATATCTCATTGTAATATTTCCTGATTATGAGTGTTATTGAGCATTTTTTCATGTGTCTATTAGCTAGCCATCTGCATGTCTTCTATGGAAAAATGCCTACTCATGCCTTCTGCCCATTTTTTTACTTGATTATTTTTTGGGGGTATTCAGTTTTATAAGTTCTCTATAGATTTTGGATACTCAGCCTTTATCAGATATGTCATTTGCAAATATCTTCTCTCATTTCAAAGATTGACTTTTTTAGTGTTGTTGATTGCTTCCTTCTCTATGCATAAGCTTTTTATATTGATGAAGTCCCAATAGTTCATTTTTTATTTTGTTTCCTACGCCTCAGGAGACATATTTAATGAGAAATTGCTATGACCGATATGTAAGAGGTTATTGACTGTGTTATTCTCTAGGATTTTGATAGTTTTCTGTTTCGCATTTAGACCTTCTATCCATTTTGAATTATTTTTTGTGTGGTGTAAGAAACTGATCCTGTTTCATTTTTTTTCCATGTTTCTGTCCAGTTTTCCCAACACCATTTGTTGAAGACACCATCTTCTTTCCATTTGATATTTTTTCCTGCTTTATCAAAGATTAGTTGACCATGTAACTGTGGGTCATTTCTGAGTTTTCTATTTTTTTTCTATTGATCTGTCTATTTTTGTGCCAATTCCATACTGTCTTGATCACTACAACTTTGTAATATATCTTAAAGACCAGAATTATGATATCTCCAGCTTTGCTTTTCTTTTTAAAGATTGATTTGGCTATTCAGGCAGGGTCTTTTGTGGTTCCATACAAATTTTAAGATTGTTTGTTCTACCTCTTTGAAAAACAGTATTGGTATTTTTATAGGGATTACATTAAATGTGTAGATTGCTTTGGACAGTATACACATTTTTT